ACAGCAATATTGAAATAGTTCTTCTAATTAATTTTCTTTCAATTCGCACAAATCCATGCACCGGGCCACTAGTAAATTGTAAGTGGATGGGCAAATAGCACATGAAAAGATGCTCAAATCATTTGACATTAGGTAAACATAAATTGTCCTGGCCAGGTGACTCAATTGGTTGGAGCAATGTCCTGTACACCAAAAAGGTTGCAGGTTCAATCCCCAGTCAGGGACAAATCCAGGTTGTGGGTTCAATCCCAGTTGGGACTTGTATGGGAGGCAACTGATTGATGTCTCTCACATCAGTTTCTCTCTCTCTCTCTCTCTCTCTCTCTCTCTCTCTCTCTCTCTCATCAATAAACATATCCATATCTTTGGGTGAGGATAAAAAATAAAGGAGGGAATTCATATTTCCAGGGTCTACTGTGTGTGGGCACCAGAATCTATAGAGCCTCATTCATATGTCAACTCTTACTTTCAAAAATCACCATTTACTTTTTCATTTTAAATGATAAAATAGACTATTTGTATTATTACAAAGTCACAAAATAATGTTTTATTTAATAAATAGATATATTTTTAAAAATTACTGTGAACTGCTAGGAGCTGAGCCGAGTAGGCAATGAGGGTTATTGTTTAATGGGCAGAGATTTTACAAGATTAGAAGAGTTATGAAGATAGATGGTGATGGTAGTTGTACAACATTGTGACTGTTTTTAATACCACTGAACTGTACACTTAAAATGGTTGCAATGGTAAATTTTATGTTATGTGTATTTTAGCACAATTTAAAAATTGAAGGGAAACCAAGGAAAAAATTAAGCAGCACAATGAACACATAATTTAACAAAACCCCTTAGTTTTCCATGAATGTTCAGTGGCTTTTTCTTCATGAGACTTGGAGTAAAATATTAATGAAACTTTATAAAAACCAATTAAAATATCACTTTGGGTCAAAAATATAAAGAAATAGATGAATGCATTAGACTACAATAAAAGACTGACTTTTGTTGCAAATCTCTTCTGTTCTGTGGCCAGTCTCGTTGACACTGCTGGCAGCTTATTTTGTTGACAGTTTTGTTATTACATGCACTCTTCTGTATGTGCATTGTTTCACAATAAAAAAGGGGATTTTAAATTCAATACAAATAAACATTAAAGTGGCAGCTAAAAAGACGTGACTGATAATTCCACTTTCTTTTGTACTCAGTAGGTAGGGAAACTAAGGCCTGCGTCACAGGCTAAACCCCAGTTGGGCTGGCAAGGGGGACTATTGCTGTCAATCACTCTATCTTTTATCTTTCCCAGGTCCATCTCCCAGGAATCCTGTGTACCCATTAGCCCTTGGCTGCCAAGCTTCTCACTCTGGTGGTGCTGCCACCATGACACCCAGTGATTGCTGAGTGGTTTCTCACACACTCTCTCCTTTGGCCTTCACAACACCCCTGAGGCAGACCTTACTATTGAGCCATTTTCAGTTATGTTCTCTTGGCATTATGCATGGGATGTAAGGGAGAAAGTGTCAACGTCCACATCTGTGACCTCTAATAATGTTCTCAGCATTGATGCCTAGAGTGCTGTGAGGCATTGATGGCCAAGAACGAGAAAGGATGAGAGTGTAATCATGAATAAGTCCAGCCAGGAAAACAGTCTTAGCTTTTTTTTTTTTGTCTTAAAAAACTACTGATATAACAACCTTTCTTTGTTTTCCAGTGAAAGATTGGTTTTAGCCAATTAAAATAAGTGATATTTTACAAAGTAGAATGTAAATCTAAAGCAATTCATTTTCCCTAAAGTGGACACAGGCAAAAGTATATAAAGAAAATAGAGGAATACTTTAAAAATATGTAATGGGGCCACAGTTGAATCTAACATCTTAATTTTGTTCTCAGGGAATGAACTGGGACAGTTCTATTATATCTAACTAGAGGCTCGGTGCATAAAATTTGTGCATGGGTAGGGTCCCTAGGCCTGGCCAGCGATCAGGGCTGATTGGGGAATTCCAGCTGCTGACCAGGGCCTCCCTTCCCCGGCTGCTGGCTGCCAGTAAGGGCCTTCCTTCATGCCAAGCCACCCCCTGGTGGTCAGTGCACATCATAGCGAGCGATTGATCTCCTGGACTCCCAGTCGAACTCCCAAGGGGACAATTTGCATATTAGGCTTTTATATATATAGACTAGAAGCCCGTTGCATGAAGATTCATGCAATAGGCCTTCCTTCTTCCTTCCTCTGGCTGCTGGCACCAGTTTTCCCCCGGCACCCGGGACCCAGGCTTTTGGTCTGGCAGCAGCAGAGAAGCCAAGCCTCTTCAGTCTTCAGTCTTCAATCTTCAGTCTTCACTCAGCGCCTGCATATGCAAATTAACCGCCATCTTTGTTGGGTTAATTTGCATAATGACTCTGATTGACTGGTGGGCATAGCAGAGTAACACCAATTAGCATGTTTCTCTTTTATTAGTGTAGATTAGTCATTCAAATAGATTATGGAGACTCTTAGCATGGAAATTATGAGGCATAGTGAGGCTTATGTACTATTTCCAGATTATTCTTACCATGTCATTAGGTCATGGAGGAAAGCAAGCAATGTTGGAGGGATAGTCCCAACTTCCAGATCTATCTAACACCTGTGAAGTAGACCTGTCAGTGCCTTTCCCATATTTCTAGACATTTCAGGATTCTTGGTTGATTTCCAAAGGCCAGTATCCACACCTCTGTGCCTACAGCGTCTTTTCCTTGGAACTCTAGAGGAGTATGCTGCCTACTTGCATGGCAGATGAGAGGAGCAAAGAACTAACACTCTCTCTTGCAATCAATAGCTTTTAGAAGTTGATGTATAAATTCCCCAGCTCCTTGTTTCTTGAATAGAATAATTCTGAAGTGTATGTTTTGCACCATTCCTTGATGTTTGCTTGCAAGATTGAGCTCCAGTTCTGTGGTAGCTGGCTTAATGACACATCATTTTTTCTGTCTTCCTTCCCCTATATCACCGAGCCACTTTATACAAGCACTCCCTGTACCTCTTAAATAAACTATCTGTAATTGAGACCTTATCTCAGGGTCTGCTTCTGTGGGAACTAAACGAAGCCACCATAAATATGGACATCTCTTGGCATCCCAATCATAAAGAGAAAACTGGGGAAATAGATTCAGAGTACAAGTCAGTGTACCGTATTTTTTATTTTTCAAATTACTTGGAAATTATCTCATCTGGATGCACTTTATTGCCCACATGCAGGGATGATAATAAAAATATTTAACAATTGATTGAGTATGGTCTTCAGTCCATCTCACCAGCTGACCACTGGCTCTGCCCAGTGAGACACAGGGATCCCAGTTCTTCCTGGGTCAAATCTTCAGGCTGATTGAGAGGTTATTGGGTAGAGAAGGGTTTACGTAGCTTTCTCTAAGGGGGCTCAGTGGTATGTGGCATAATTTTGAATCCTTCTCAGAATGATAAGTAAAAAGGATCATTTATCAAACATCTCCAAAGAGAGCTAGAAGGGCCAGCAGGGAACACATCAGTGGGGACTCTGGTAGTGTTACATGCCAACATATATTATTTATGTCTTCTTCTGAGTATGGTAAGAAAAAAAAAGCCACAAACTCGCCTGGTTTCTTTCTAGAGAATTGTCTCTTCTCCATTGTGGTAGTGTGGGCAAGGCCAAAGAGCAAAGTAGTCAAGGGGTTGGTGTGTATATTACTCAAGATATGTCCATCAGAGTCTCTCTCCTGGACTATGAATGTGAAGCAGAATGATGAAAGGATAAGAGGAAAAGTCTTTGGAGTTCACTGATGCAGTGAGAGTGCTAATTCATGCAGAGGAATGCTATAAAGTAGGGTCAACTAGATCCTGCTACAGACCCCAGAGTTGCCTGGTTTCTCTTCATGTCCATGACCTTCTCATTGGTCCTATGAGTCTTCTGATAGCCTTCCAGTAAATTCCAAAATTGGTTACTTTTGCTGGCAACCTTAAAACCATAACTAATTTGGGCCCTACTGTTTATCTTCAGCCATATTTTATAGGGAGCCAACCCCTTAAAAGAGTGTGTGGCCCTGGCTGGTTTTGCTCAGTGGATAGAGCATCAGCCTGTGGACTGAAGGGTCCCAGATTCGATTCTGATCAAGGGCACGTGACAGGGTTGCAGGCTCAATCCCCAGTAGGGGGTGTGCAGGAGGCAGCCAATCCATGATTCTCTCATCATGTTTCTGTCTCTCTCTCCCTCTCCCTTCCTCTCTGAAATCAATAAAAATATATTTTTAAAAAAAGAAAGAAAGAAAGAAAGAAAGAAAGAAAGAAAGAAAGAAAGAAAGAAGAAAGAAAGAAAGAAAGAAAGAAAGAAAGAAAGAAAGAAAGAAAGAAAGAAAGGAAGGAAGGAAGAAAGAAAAGAGTGTGTGGCAGAAACTACTGAAAATGGGAGAAAAGAAGGCGGTCCCTGGATCTGCAGCAAACAAGAGGAAGAAGCCCCCGGAGGTGTGCGTGCGTCTGAGGGATACTGTGTACATCCTTCAAGCTTCCTTCCTGCAGCTCTCAGGTACCAGGAGCTAGAATTCCATCCCGAGCTTCTCCATCGTCCCACAGGTTGACTGGCTGCTGATTCAGGCATTTCTCACAAGCAAAGCCCTAGTGGCTTGGGCAGATACTAGGAACAGGACGAAGGCTCGGGTCAGACTCTCTTCTGTTAGCAGTTCTGGTAAGACAGAGAGTCGGTGGGCGTTGACATCATGGGCTCAAATGAGGCCTCACTGAAATAGATAGACATCACTTATCAAGATGTTCACTTTTACTACAAAATAATTATGAATTTGGCTAGGCACATTTCATAGGAACCATATTGAGAACTGGGCAGGTTTTATTTTTTAATGCTTATTTGCATTTTAAAAGTTGGGAAGTGAATTTTCTGTCATAGTTGCAACCATTCCTCTGCCAGCGTTGGCACAACACACCATACCAAACCCTGCGAAGGGGGCCAGCTGAGCACCTGCCAACCTGGCCCACGTGCAGCGCTTTGCCTAGAAGCCGTGTCTCCTATAGAACTGAGCTCGGGCGAGAATGTCATTGACCAAGTCAGCCTCTATGTCCAAGGGGGTGGCAATGGCTTCGACTCCTGACTTAAAGGCCAAGATACCACCTGAAATGAAACACAGAGGTTCAGATTGAAATATTAACTTTCCGCAAGAATAAGATATGACCATTCCCAGGATGTCAGCCCTCCAGGCAAATCTTCCAAAGTAGGCAGTTCCAGGCCCTCCTTCTCCCTCCCTCCCCTCCTAAAAGGATGTGCTACCTCAAAAACCATGGGGAAAACCCAAGTAGCTTTCCTTCTCTCTCTTTTTAAAATACTTTTATTTTTCTTGCTTAAAAAGTCTTATGTAGTTCAGGTCTACAAAACTAGATTCCCAGCAAATCTTCAGTCTGAGAAGTCTGAGAATGCTCATTATATTCTCTCAGTCATTTAATAATCCACTCATTTATTCACTCATTTATTCATTCAATAAACATTTTTAAGCACCTACTATGTGCCAGGATTTGTGCCACACTGAGAGCAGAGTGCACAGTGCTACCCAGAGATAATCATTTCTTGGTAGGGTTATGTGTATAATAAGCATGTCTGTGCATATGTGTATTAAACCTAGAATCTTTAATAGTTATTTATGTGTTTAACATAAGTGTACTCCACTCTTACATCCAGAGAAAAAAGCCTCTGATCCCTGCCTTCACGGACCTTGAAATAGAAGATAGAAACTGTTTATTCTAAATTAGGCCACCACGTGTTGAAGGCGAGAAGTACTGGTAGATACAGACCATGGGCTTATAGGAGATAGACTTAATAAGAATTGATGTGGTTAGATGTGAAGAGAGAAGGAACCAGAGAGCCTCAGAAAACACTAGAGATGACTGGACATATGATGGTGCCTTTCACAGAGACAGGAAATGTAGAAAAAATAGCACATTTCTAGTGGAAGCTAGTGACTTAATTCCGTCTGGGTCATGGTCTGTGATCAGCCAGGTACGGATCTCCACTTGGACATCTCATAGTACCTGAAGCCCTGGTGTCGCTGGGAAAGCTCACAGAGTAAAATTTTGTTCAAACAATTCAGGAATTGATTAATTCTTGCATCAGGAAAGAAGCCTACCAGAGCAAGGCAAGCATATTCTTTTAAACTACTGCATTCACTTGCAAGGCATCCCTTAATGGCTCGATAACCAGCGAGAGGTATAATCAGAACCCCAACATCTGGCAGGAGGGAAAGGAACGCGGGGAAGGAAGACCGCTCAGTAACACAGGGGCTCCGAGAGCACTTTCCACAGCTCCTCCCAGGCCACGCTGACCTGGTGGGCACGCTCCCCGGGAGGCCACCATACATCTGGTCTGCAGGGGTCTCACTCAGCTCTTTTAAACAAACCACCAGGATCTGGCCTACCTTTGAGGTGTTGGTCCACACTCCACATGGGGAATTTTCTCTGGATTGCCTTAATTCTGTCTGTCAGAATCCCAACAGCCTGCAGAAGGTGCTCTTTGCTGTCCCAGGTGCCAACAGGGTAATACATGTTTTTATCAAGCTAGAAAATTCAAATAGCAGTGGCAGCATCTGAATGAAGAAACACGTTTTTCTGCTGTTCCTGATTTCTCCCTTTTATGCTCAAGTTCACCGGCCTTCCCTGTCCTTTCCCCCCACATAATCAACTCTGCAGTGCTTTCTTTCACAGAAACCAGAGTCAGAGAAACAAAGTAAGATTTGGGAGGAGTGGATGTGGCCCAGTTTCAGTCAGCACTCTAATAGACACACATACGTACATAAATAAATGGAAAAGTTGTTTCAATCCATCAGCTCCCAAATTCTACATGTTTTCAGTCAAAATACAAATTTGTTTCTAACTGGGGGCTAAAAGTCTGGGTTTCTACAGACCATATAAAGTTGAACCTGGAAACAGATATCCAGATCATTTGGATCTTCTTCCAATTTGTCTAAAGAACAAGTTGGGCCCTTGCCGGTTTGGCTCAGTGTATAGAGCATCAGCCTGCAAACTAAAGGGTCCCAGGTTCATTCCGGTCAAGAGCACATGCCCAGGTTGCTGGCTCGATCCCCAGTTGGGGGTGTGCAGGAGGCAGCCGATCAATGATTCTCATCATTGATGTTTCTATCTTTCCCTCTCCCTTCCTATCTGAAATCAATAAAAATATATTTTAAAAAAATAAAGAAAGAAGAAACAAGTTGGGTTACATGGGGTTTAATAATAGTGTTTTGATCCACATGGATGAAATTGACTACTTCATGAACCCCAGTATAAATGCCCTTTATAAGATTTTCTCAATGTAAGTACATTGTATATTATTTATTGCACATTGTAGTTATGAAACTGATAGAATACTTTCTTATAGTTATCCAAGAACTGATAAATCTCAAATAAAATACCAAAGCTGCATTACAGGAATCACAGTACAAATTGTGCTAAAGTACCAGGGTGTTTTGAAGCCTCGAAATACTGCAAGCAGCTTGCAGTGTGGGTTGAGCTTCTGCAGGGAGGGATGAAGTGGGGCTAATCGAAAGTTGCCAGCTAAGTACCTGCATCAGGCCAAATTTCAGGCCCCTGTGGTCCCAGCCGTCCTGCAGGACAGCTCCGCCGTGGCTTTCTCTGGAGATGATGGCTGCAATGAGGGCGGGGTCCACGCAATGCCTCCGCCCAACTTCTTTGATCAGAGTCTGGTACGGCTTTAAGGCCCTCAAATCCATTTCAGCAAACATTTCAGAACCACGAATCCCTAAGTGGATGGAAAATAAATTGTTTCCTCTAATCCAGAAGAGAATCCTTTTCAGATAAGTTAGCCATAGCCCATGACTGCACCTCACAGCTTGGGATAGTCATTCTAAGACATGGTTTCTTCTTTGTGGTTTTTTGTTTTGTTTTGTTAATCCTCACTGGAGGATATTTTTCCCATTGATTTTTAGAGAGAGTGGGAGGGAAGGAAGGAAGTGGGGAAAGAAAGAGGAGGGAGAGAAAGAGAGAGAGAGAGAGAGAGAGAGAGAGAGAGAGAGAGAGAAGAGAGGAATATCGGTGTGAGAAAAACAGATTGACTGGTTGCCTCCTGCACACCCTGACTGTGGTGGGGTTCTAACCTGCACCCAGGTACATGCCCTTGACTGGGAGCTGAGCCGCCACTTTTTGGGATGCAGGCCGGTGGTCTAACCACTGAGCTACCGGCCAGGGCACTAGGACATGTTTTAACCTTTGATTCTATAAACACAGAAAGGTCCACCACCTCAGACAGATACCATGTCTGTTTTTCCCCCTCGTTTTTCTGTTTCCTGCCACACTGCTGCATTGGGGAGCTCCCTAGTCTAGAAGTCAGCCAACCTAAGTTTGAGTCTGGTCGGCCACTACTCAGCTCCAGGCCCTGCGGAAGTCTCCCCTTTGCTGAGCCTCGGTTTCTGGTCTGTAAATGGGGAAGGCAGGATTAGCTGGCCTAGTTGCTTCTAGCTCTGACGCTCTGGCACTGAGATAACAGGAAGAAGACTTTTGCAAGTTACAAAAGTGAAGACATACAAAGAACAAGAGACTTGCTTACCATGTTCCTGCTCTAACAGGCAGCAACACAACAGCAAACAAAAAGGCAAAGCCAGAATTTAATATCTCATTGAGGCAATCATTTCAATATGTAGAAATAAACATCTGGACAAGTTTGGAAATAATGGGGGGAGGGCAAATAAGTAGTATGTTAGGTTGGTCAGAATTTTGTTTTCTTCTCATTTTTTATTTCAACATTAATACTATAATGATGATTATACTTTTCCAAAATGAAGCTATTTTTCTAAGAAAGAATCTGAAAATGATGAAAGGGGGCAAGCCAAATGTTTGTTTTGCTTTTCACTTACCGCAGTTAATCAACCTGGCTATATCACAGGCAGTCCCAGGAGTCTCCATGGTCATGATGTCGCCATAGCAGCCGCGGTACAGGCGGGGGTGCAGATAAGGGCTCACTGAGTGACTAAAAGGATAAGAGCCCCTGGAAGTGCCTGGAGAGGGGGGAGGGGGATGATAATTCACACAAAGCCTGTGAGAAAATATTGCTTGAGTTGCTATAATGAGCATTATTAAACCTACGGAAAAGCTATAGACTTAGTTCTCCCCAAGGACCTGCTCAGGACCTAGAATAGCTCATCAGACAAAACAGAAGATTCCCCCTTCCCACTCTACTCCAACCTTAAAAAGTATAATACAACACAATTCTAAACATTGTGCAAGATCTCAAAACCATTTAGTGCAATCTAGATCAGACAGAATTGCTACTATATTTTAAGCTGGAACTTTGAGAGAAATTTTAAGGTACTTCTGACACAAATACTTATGTGGATGTAAGCACTGGGATTAACAATAGCCTTTGTTTAGTGAGAGAAGAAAAAAGGATACCATTAACTTAAAGTATTTATTTTTATATCATGTTGCTGAGAAGTTGAGTTTCTATCTAGATCTAATTGGAAATAAAATTTAACGTACTATAAAAATGTAACTTAAATCTATTTTTACTTTTTTTTTGTCATATGAAGTGAGTTTCCATCCAAGTCTATTTAGTTAGTTAGTTTTAAGTTTTGTTTATTTTTTAAAAACATTTTTATTTTTTAATTTCAGTTGATATACTTTATTATATTAGTTTCAGGTGTACAACATAGTGGTTAGACATTTATATAACGTACCACATGATCATCTGATAAATCTAGTACCCTTCTGACATCATACACAGTTATTACAAGATTCTCTACTAGATTCCCTGTGCTATACTTTACATCCTGAGACTGTTCAATCTATTTACTAAAGGAGATAAAGAGCTTTCTGTAAGTTGAAAAGTTTATTCTAATAGTTCCTAGGATTATTGAGTTGTACCTTAAGGCTACAAATATTTGTTCTGGAAATTATATTTCTTAAAATGTTTGACATAAAAAAAACTGTGTTGTTTTAATTGGTGTTATAAATGTGTTTTCAATAGAGAAGTGGATTTTATCCATTCACCATAGGCCATTGGCCTAGTTCTGATAAACTTGACAGTATAGAGAGACTCTTAGAATTTGGCACACAAACAATGGAGCTCATCCTTACCGATATTATTTTAAAAGGAAAACAAAGCAACTCTAAAGATTAAGTTTTTAAAACTCCTTAATTTTTTAAAAAGAAAAACTCATCAAAAGAAAAATACAGTCACAGTCTGCTCTCTCACATCTACACACAGGCAAGAAAGGAATCGTAAATGGACCCACAGTCCGACAGTGAGCTAGCAAGTAAACTCGGGACACTGAGAAAGCCTATCCCGCTCATGAAAGCAGCAGAACTGGCAAAGCCAATACGCCTCTCTGAGCAGCATGGGTTCTGCTGTGATACAGAGAACAGGAACCATCATCTCGGCTCTCCACACCGCCCTCAGTGTAGCATCCTGTGCCTACAGTGTGTATGGGAAATATATGTGAGTGACTAAATGGATGAATTCCTATGACACCCATCACATGTACAATTGAGGTGTGGGGGCTGGGAGTGCAGACTGAAGTTTATCACCACCAAACCAGCACTGTAAGAAATGTTAAAGGGCTACTGTAATAATAATAAGATATACATATATATCCTATATAATAATAGAGAAACATGGTAATTAACCATAACTTCGCTACCCTTCCCATTGGCTAATCAGCGAGATATGCAAATTAACTGCCAACCAAGATGGCGGCCGGCAGCCAGGCAGCTTGAAGCGAACAGGAGGCTTGCTTGCTTCAGTGACAGAGGAAGCCAACGTTCCCCGCCTGCCGCTGCTGGCTTCTGAGCTTGCAATCTAAGAAACATTGTTACAATTATAGAAGCTAAAAAAAAACCCCAGAAACCTGCTTTCAGCCAGCCAGGCCTCAGAGCTGGAGTAGAAACAGTGTTTCGATTATAGAACCCAAACAAACCAGATACCTGCTATCAGCAGCCGAGGTCTCAGAGCTGGAGCCGAGCCTCAGAGAGAAAGCCGGCTCTCAGTTCCAGTGACAGCCATAGAAGGTAAATAAATCCCAGAATAAAAAAGAAAAAAGAAAAAAAGGACAGATTGGGAGCTTCAGTTGCCCACCAGCCTGAAAACGGCCCTCAGCCCCTCACCCAGATTGGCCAGGCACCCCAGTGGGGACCCCCACCCTGAAGAGGGTGTGACCAGCTGCAAACAGCCATCATCCCCTCATCCAGGCTGGCCAGGCACCCCAGTGGGGACCCCCACCCTGAAGGGGGTATGACCAGCTGCAAACAGCCATCATCCCCTCACCCAGGCTGGCCAGGCACCCCAGTGGGGACCCCCACCCTGAAGGGGTGTGACCAGCTTCAAACAGCCATCATCCCCTCACCCAGGCTGGCCAGACACCCAAGCGGAACCCCCACCCTGATCCAGGACACCCTTCAGGGCAAACCAGCCAGCCCCCACCCGTGCACCAGGCCTCTATCCTATATAGTAAAAGGGTAATATGCCTCCCAGCACTGGCATCAGCGGAGCAGCAAGGCCTCCTAGCACTGGGATCAGGGGAGCAGCGAGGCCTCACTGCCCCTGTGTCAAGCAGAGCCGCGAGGCCTCCCAGCACCGGGATCAGTGGAGCCGAGAGGCCTCCTGGCCCCTGGAGCAGCATGACAGGAGGCAGAGCCCAAACCCCCTGATCGCCCTGCAGCTCTGTGTGTGACAGGGGAAGGCGCCCAAAGCCCCTGATCAGCCCTGCTCTGTGTGTGACAGGGTGTGGTGCCCCAACCCCCCCATCGGCCCTGCCCTGAGTGTGACAGGGGGGAGTGCCCCAACCCCCTGGTGGGCCCTGCTCTGTGTGTGAGAGGGGTGGTGCCCAACTCCCCAATCGGCCCTACTCTATGCATGACAGGGGGGAGCTCCCAACCCCCTGATCAGCCTTGTTCTGGGGGCGACAGGGGGGGGGGGGCCACAACCTCCCTATCCACCCTGCTCTGTTCATAAATCTAGTAGCCTTCTGACATCATACATAGTTATTACAAGATTCTTTACTATATTCCCTGTGCTATACTTTACATCCTGAGACTGTTCAAATCTATTTACTAAAGGAGATAAAGAGCAGACAAAATTGCTACTATATTTTAAGCTGGAACTTTGAGAGAAATTTTAAGGTACTTCTGACACAAATACTTATGTGGATGTAAGCACTGGGATTAACAATAGCCTTTGTTTAGTGAGAGAAGAAAAAAGGATACCATTAACTTAAAGTATTTATTTTTATAAATACTTTATAAAAGTATCAGGGAGTTGCTCCTGGGGCCAGGACGTAAAACACTCATGCTGCTCCAGGGGCCAGGAGGCCTCTCAGCTCCACTGATCCCGGTGAGACACATCAATTGGCTGCCTCCCCCACACACCCTCCTTTTCAATTTGGATGCCTTTTATGTTTCCTTCTTCTCTGATCACTGTGGCTATGTTGAATAGCTGTCAATTTCTGGGTGAAAAGGAGGACGTAAAACACTCATGCTGCTCCAGGGGCCAGGAGGCCTCTCGGCTCCACTGATCCCGGTGCTGGGAGGCCTCGTGGCTCTGCTTAACACAGGGGCAGTGAGGCCTCGCTGCTCCACTGACCCCAGTGTCAGGCCCAACCCCCTGATCAGCCCTGCTCTGTGTGTGACAGGGTGCGGCGCCCCAACCTCCCCATCGGCCCTGCCCTGAGTGTGATAGGGGGAGTGCCCCAACCCCCTGATGGGCCCTGCTCTGTGTGTGACAGGAGACAGCGCCCCAACCCCCTAATTGGCTCTGCTCTGAGCCCGACCAGGGGCTGCACCTAGGGATTGGGCCTGCCCTCTGCCACCTGGGAGCTGGCCTAAGCCAGCACATCGTTATCTCCCGAGGGGTCCCAGACTGTGAGAGGGCACCCCCCCCCCCCCGCCAGTGGACAAATTTTTGTGCACCGGGCCTCTAGTATATATATAAAGAGAGAGAAAAATATAGGCATAAAGAATAAAATATGGCAATAAATAAGTAGCTATTAATAATAACCTTAAATGTAAATGGATTAAATGCTCTAATCAAAAGACATAGGGTGGCTGAATGGATAAGAAAACATGACTCAACTATATGCTATCTACAAGAGACCCACCTCAGAACAAAAGACACACAGGATGAGAGTGAAGGGATGGGAAAACATTTTTTTTCCATGCAAATGGAAACGAAAAATAGCTGGAATAGCAAACTCATATCTGACAAAACAGACTTCAAAATGAAGGCCATCACAAGAGACAACAAAAGTCACTACAGAATATAACCCTGGTAAACATGTTTGCACACAATATAAGTATATAAAAAAGACTTCTGGAGGTCTTTAAGGGAGAGATTGACAGCAATACAGTCATAGTAGGGGACTTTACCACCCCACTGATGTCACTGGATAGATCTTCCAGACAATAAACCAACAAGGAAACTGACTCAATGACACACTAAAGCAAATGAATTTAATTAACATTTACAGAACATTTCACCCCAAAGCTGCAGAATATACAATCTTCTCAAGTGCACATGGGTCATTCTCAAAGATAGACCACATGTTAGTACATAAAACAAGTCTCTACAAGTTCAAGATTGAAATCAGATCAATCATCTTCTCGAATCACAATGGCATGAAATTAGAAATCAACTACAGTAAAAACACTCAAAAAACATTCAAACACATGTAGGCTAAATAGCATGTTATTAAATAATGAATAGGTTATGGATGAGATAAAGAAAGAAAGAAAAAACCTTCCTGGAAATAAATACACAATAACCCCAAATCTATGAGACACAGTGAAAGCAGTCATGAGAGGGAAGTTCATAGCACTATAGGTCTACCTGTAGAAAAATTTTGAATAAACTATCTAACCCTACAACTTAAAGAATTAGAAAGAGAACAACAAGAAAATCCCTGAGTAAGTAGAAGAAAGGAAATAATAAAGATCAGAGCAGAAATAAATGACAGAGACTGAAAAAACTATATGAAAGATCAATGAAGCCAAGAGCTGGTTCTTTGAAAAGATAAACAAGATTGATGAACCTCTAGCCAGACTCATTAAGAAACAAAGAAATAAAAAAAAGAAACAAAGAAAGAGGACCCAAATAAATAAAATCAGAAATGAAAGCCATGAAGTAACAGCTGACACCACAAAAATACAAATTGTAAGAAAATGATATAAATAACTAAATGCCAACAAGATGGACCATGTGGATGAAATGGACAAATTCCTAGAAAAATGCAATCTTCCAAAACTGAATCAGGAAGAATCGGAAAACCTGACTAGGCCAATAACAACTGAGGAAATAGAAGCAGTAATCAAAACTCTCCGAGCAAACAACAGCCCTGGTCTGGACAGTTTCACAGGGCAATTTTACCAAATATTCAAAGAAGAACTAACGCCTATCCTCCTCAAACTATTCAAAAACACCAAAGAGGAAGGAACACTTCCACGCTCTTTTTATGAGGCCAGCATTACCCTAATTCCAAAACCAGATAAAGACACTGCAAAGAAAGAGAATTACAGACTAATATCCCTGTGAACATAGATGCTAAAATCCTCAACAAAATATTAGCAAATTGGATCCAGCAATACAATAAAAAGATCATACACCGGGACCAAGTGGGATTTCTTTCTGGGATGAAAGGCTGGTAAAATACTCACAAATCAATAAATGTGATATATCACATAAATGAACTGAAAGAAAAAAATCACATGATCATATCAATAGATGCAGAAAAAGCATTTGACAAAATCTAACACTTATCTTTGATAAAAACTTCAGCAAAGTGGGAATAGAGGGATCATACCTCAACATAATAAAGACCATATATGACAAACCTACAACACACATCATACTCAATGGGCAAAAACTAAAGCCATTTTCCCTAAGAACAGGAACAAGGCAGGGATGTCTGCTTTCACCACTTATTCAACATAGTATTCAACATAGCCACAGTGATCAGAGAAGAAGGAAACATAAAAGGCATCCAAATTGAAAAGGAGGACGTAAAACACTCATTATTTGCAGATGACAGATATTGTACATAGAAAACTCTAAAAACTCCACCAAAAAAAACTACTAGATTTCATAAGTGAATTTGGCAATATAGCAGGATACAAAATCAACACCCAGAAATTGACAGCATTTTGTTGTTGTTGTTAATCCTCACCCAAGGATATTTTTCCCATTGACTTTTTGGAGAGAGTGGAAGGAAAGGGGAGAGACAGAGAGAGAAACATCAATGTGAGAGAGACACGTCAATTGGCTGCCTCCCCCACACACCCCAGCCAAGACCAGGAATCGAGCCTGCAACCGAGGCATGTACCCCTGACCAGAAATGAACCTGGGACCCTTCAGTCCATGAGCTAATGCTCTATCCACTGAGCCAAACCGTCCAGGGATCAATGGCATTTTTATATGCCAATAGTGAATTCTTAGAAACTCAACAAACAATCCCATTTACCATTGCAACAAAAAAATTAAGATACTTAGAAATAAACTTAACCAAGGAGCTAAAACACCTATAATCAGAGAACTACAGGATGTTGAAAAAAGAGATAGAAGATATAAACAAGTGTATATACCATGTTCATGGATTGGTAGAAATAACATCAAAGCAATCTATAGATTCAATGCAATTCCTATTAAAATACCAATGGCATATTTCACAGATTTAGAATAAATACTCCAAAAATTGATATGGAACAGAAAAAGACCTCAAGTAGCCACAGCAATCTTGAGAAAGAAGAACAAAGTTGGAGGGATCACAATACCAGATATCAATTTATACTACAAAGCCACTGTAATCAAAACAGCCTGGAACTGGCACAAGAACAGGCATATAGATCAATGGAACAGAACAGAGAACCCAGAAATTGACCCAACCATTATGCTCAATTAATATTTGACAAAAGAGGTAAGGGCACACAATGAAGTCAAGACAGTCTCTTCAATAAATAGTATTGAGAAAATGGGACAGACACATGCAAAAAAATGAAACTAGACCATCAACTTACACCATACACAAGAATAAACTCAAAATGGATAAAAGGCTTAAATGTAAGTCATGAAATCATAAAAATCTTAGAAGAAACCATAAGCAGCAAAATCTCAGACATCTCTTGTAGCAATATGTTTGTGGATACATTTTCTAGGGCAGTGGTCAGCAAACTGTGGCCCCTTGAATGTGGCTCTTCCACAAAATACCACGTGCAGGCGCGCACGTACAGTGCGATTGAAACTTCGTGGCCATACTCAAGGGGCCAAAGAGCGGCATGTGGCTTGCGAGCCTCAGTTTGCCAACCACTGTTCTAAGGCAAGAAAAACAAAGGAGAAAATAAATAAATGGACTACATCAAAATAAAAAGCTTCTGCACAACAAAAGAAACCATCAACAAAATGACAAAGGAGCCCACTGTATGGGAGAACATATTTGTCAATGATACATCTGGTAAGGGGCAAATATCCAAAATATATAAGGAAGTCAACAACTTAACAAAAAGGAGACAAACAATCCAATTAAAAAATGGGCAAAGGACCTAAATAGACCCTTCTCCAAAGTGGACATACAGATGGCCAAGGGATATATGAAAAAATGCTCAAAGTCACTAATTATCAAAGAGATGCAAATTAAAATGACAAGGAGGTATCACCTCACACCTGTCAGAATGGTTAGCATCAACAAATGATAAGTGCTGGCAAGGATGTGGAAAAAAGTGAACCCTAATCCACTGCTGGTGGGAATGCAGACTGGTGCAGCCACTATGGAAAACAGTATGAAGTTTTCTCAAATAATGAAATATGGAACTGCCATTTGATCCAGTAATCCCACTTCTAGGAATATATCCCAAGAAATCTGAAACACCCATCAGAAAGAATGTATGCACCCCTAAGTTCATAGCTATGCAATTTACAATAGCCAAGATCTGGAAACAGCCCAAATGCCCATCAGTTGATGAGTGGATAAAAAAAAGCTGTGGTACATTTACACCATGGAATACTATGCAGCTATAAAAAAGAAAGATCTCTTACCTTTGAGACAGCATGGAGGGACCTGGAGAGTATTATGCTAGCCAGTCAGAGAAAGACAAGTATCACACAATCTCACTCATGTGGAATTTAATGAACAAAATAAACTGATGAACAAAATAGGTCCAAACACATAGAAGCATGGACCAGACTGATAAATCCCAAAGGAAAGGCAGGGGTGGGTGGGTGGAGAGGATGAACCAAAGAATTTACATGCATATATGTATAACCCATGAACACAGACAATTGTGTGGTGAAGGCATGGAGGATGGATGGGGTCAATGAGAAAAAAGAGGGGGACAGCTGTAATACTTTCAACAATAAAGATACATTTAAAAAAAATGCCTATCTTGGTCTGGTTGAAGGCTGAGATTTCATGACTCGCTTCCAACATGGCCCAAGACAACTCTCCAAACCAGACCATAGCAATTAATTGTAGGTGAAGCTGCATCCAATTCACAGAAGATCAATTGAAAATCCTCATCAAAGCTTTCAGCCAAAAACCTTACCCAGGACATGCTACCAAACCAAAGTATGTTTTAGAAGTCAACGTTGAGGAGTCTAGAATCCAGATTTGAAGACAGAAGATGTAGGCACCGTGTCCAGAAAATATAAAAACCCAAAGAGGAATTAGAAGCAAGCCAAGACCAAGATCACCCTGTGGAGACGTTTCAAAGTGTCATACCAGTTACACTTCCTCCTGATTACACATCTTCATCATGGCATTTGCCAATGACCCTTTTCCTGAAATTGATTCCAGAGAGTAACTTGCTACGGAGATTAGGGTTCCAGAGTCAAAAGTCCAAATTTGGCTTAAAAATCAATGATCTAGATTCCATGTCCTGAAAAAATGAGAACCCAATGTGCCTGTAGAGTAAAAACAAGACCAGGAACAAGAGCTCTGAATGAGAGCGTTCAAGAGACAGAAACTGCACACAGTGGCACCAATCTCATTAGCAACTGTCTTATTTCTCTGAAGCCAGAACAAGATGGACCAAGATTTGATGTCAACAGCCTGGACTCCACACCTCTCTCACTCAGCCTGGAAACATACCCTTCAGCTTCTCCAGAAGCTGAGCCTCTGGAGATGGTGAACAGGACTTCAGGAGGCAGATATAAGGCACCACCACGCAGTCCTGCCGACAGCGCCTGCTCCAGAGTCCAGCAGGTGTCAAGGACCATGAAAATAAACTCACTCGTATTAGTTTTAAGTCATCTTAGTACTGAGTGATTCAGGAAGAAATCATAAAAGTCTTGTGATTATTGTGATTTAAAAGAAATATACATTTGCTCTTCATCAACAGAGCTCCTAAAGCCCTTGGAGTTTCCCGGGATGACAGCAATGAAGTGTTCCTTGTTATGTTTGGGGGGGGGGGGGAGCCTATCTCAGGCTCCTCATAGTAGGTCTGTTGAGCCAGAATCTAGGTATAAGGACAAAGAACCTGCACTTAACCAGCATTGCCAGCAGGAATTTAGCCAGCACATGGAATCTAGATCTTTGATTTTTAAGCCAAATAAAAATCTGCATAGGGAAGTTTGGGAACCACTGCTTTAAGATGATTGGAATATGACATTGGCCTTACACTACCTGTGCAGCATCGAA